ATCCCGCGGCTTCCGGTGGCGAAGGTCTTCCTACATCAGCAACTCCTATTGATCCGGATGTCAAGTCGGACGGTGAGGTTACTCCAGATGGTTTCGCCGTCAAGATGACGGAAGACATGTGGTTAGAGGAATTGCAGGAATCACTGGATGCTGATGAAGGCGTTGGCAACAGTTCTCGAATTGTAGGTCAGCAAAGATGTAGCACAAGTGTTCAGCTGCAGTGCATAGTACACGGAGGTGAATCGCGCCTTGCCGTTGCCAAAGGGCTACAATCCTTAAAGTCGATGGCCAAGGACTTGCAGGGAACACCGCAGGGCTGTGTCGGTTGCGCAGTTGAGCAGTTTGAGTCTGAGTTGAGCAGTTGACTGTGTCGAATCCTTCTCAGGAGCAAGTGCAACAGCTTGTCACGGCACTGGGTCGCGATGTTCTTATTGCCGGCAGCAGCGGTATGCCGCAATCGGTGCAGCTGACGTCAGCCTGCACAGGATTCGGAACATTTGAGTTGGTTGCGCAAGCATCCTTTGACGAATTTGAAGCAGTTGTCAACCACTGCTTCACAGAGTCCTGACTGAACTTCACTTGATATCCATGTTGGTCCATGCTGTGCCATTCCCTGTGGTCACGTGATTCTATTGCCTTGCTGTGACGTTGAGGTGGATAGTGTGTTTATGTGCGAGATCGTTGCGTTCAAGCAGAAGTTTCTGAAAGACGTGGTTTCGGACGTTTTCTTTCTCCAGGTGTGATGACCGAGTCTGGGTTTCAACTCATGTGTCAAATGCTGTGTCGGCTGTAGTCTGTATCGACTGTGACTGTTCCCTGGAAGGGTGGCTGTCTGTTCAAAGATATCACGAAGCTCTCCGACGAGAGCCAACGGCATTGTGTGATTCACAACCGCAGCTGTGTGTCTGAGCTAATTAAACTTCGTGATTGATTGAAACATGGTGGCTGTTGCCATAAGTTAGGAACTGAAGACCTCAACGGATATCGGCATGCTGTCGATCTTCTGCGCTGGCTTCAGCTGCAAGTAACTTGACAAACTGTTGGTGCAGGCGCATGATATATTTCCGTCTGGCTCGGTTTTTGCTTCCGAATGAATGAGGTCTTTCAGCCGTATGAATTCAGATTTCGAATTGTTGAAACGTGCTATGGCAGATGAGAAGGACCCGGGAGCAAATTGGAGTGAATGATTGCAACCTGTCCGAGTTTGTGAGCATGCCGGCTGAGGATTGTTCGTCGGTTGCAACATTCAGGGGAGTATGTCAAGTGCTTTCCGAGTGCCAACCTTTGTGTTTTCTCCTGGAGAATGTGGATTCCTTGGAGACGAGCGACGATGAGCGGCTTGTCGGCAGAACATTGCTGATTGTTTACAGCTTTTAGTCGCTGTGGCCGATGCAGCTACTAGCCTCGTTTGCCCAGGTCAGGCCAATCGAATTTGCACATGATAAAGACATATTTGTCTGGCATGGGCTATGCCGTGCGTGTGGAGAGAGTACGATCCGACAACTACGGCCTCCCGCAGCGACGCGTGAGACTCCTGTTCTTTGGACTAAGGGATGCCAGTACACTTGCTGAGACGAAGGAGACCACATTGGATCGCGTTGTTGATCGAATGTCTCTTCTTCAGCGTCCTTGTGCTCCGGTCGAAGCTTGGTTTTCAGTGGTCACTCCATGTGAGCGGGAAGATTGCAAATTTGCCAATACCAAACTCATTTGAAGTTGAGGGTTGGAGTTGGAGTTGGAACTTCTAGGCTTCTCGGTTTAGTTTAGATTAGAGTCAGAGTCAGAGTCTAGTTTAGTTAAGTCTGTATGGTTGTATAGTACTTAATTGCTATTACTGCTGTGCTGTTAAATAGTTCAAGTTGTAGCCTCCGGGTCGTAGCCGTAACACATAGCAATACAACAACAACAACAACAACAACAACAACAACAACAACCACAACAACAACAACAACAACAACAACAACACGAGCAAACTGCGACGGCGACTGCTACTGACTGCCACTGCTATTGCTACTGCCGCCGCCGCTGCTGCTACTACTACTACTACTACTACTGCTGCTGCTGCTGCTGCTGCTGCTGCTGCTACACTACTACTCCTGCTGCTGCTGCTGCTGCTACCACGGCAACAAGTTAGTCACGATGCAATTGTGTTTGGGCTTGGGATATGGAATGGAACTTCGAGCCTAGCCTAGGACGGCTTTCTGCACCGGGACGATGACGAGCTGCTGATGGCTGAGTTGCTTCGGCTGCAGGCGGCTGAAAAGAAGGCTACGACATCGGCTGACAGCGAGAAATGGAGAGAGCTGCACAGCTCTGTGGCGGAGCAGTGTGGGGATCTTAATGGTTTGAGCGAATTGCAGCGAACTGCACAGAGTTTTGATGATGCTTCATAAGACGATATGCTATTGTCATGTAACTTAACTAAGATGGCGTGCAGTGGCCTTTGACGCCACCCCAGCGACTCCTGGACTCGCCATGGTTCGAGCATCTGTCGAAGCGCGAGCAAGAGGCTTGCAAGATTGCAGCTGTTCGTGCTGTATTTCGTCCGATGTGTTTCGGTTTGCATGCTCGCCCTCAGGCCGTCTGTTTCATTGAAGTATGGAACCAGCGTCGGGATGGAAGCAGCAAGCATGCTTTCGTTGACATATCCCAGAGTTTGACGCGTATGCAGTCATCGACGGGGTCTGCCGAGGTCCGACTGCAAGTGGAGTGATGTTGGGTTCAGTCTGGTTCAGTGTTTCAATTTACTTCAGCCGTTCGAATTAGCCTTGAACTAGGTTGTGCCAACAATCCTTCCGGGATCGCGGCTGTGGAGTGTGGATCGCGCACGCTGCTTGGTGGGAGGCTTTTCTGAAACTGACTTACTATACTCTAGTTATTCTGAAAATTATTCTGGTTGCTGAAAAGTTTAGCTACTTATCTGTTTAAAGTTGTTGATCACAGTTCGCAGTTCGCAGTGTAATTTAATCAATCAGTGGGTGTTGCTATCATTCAAATCCGGTTGATGATGGTTGGCGGTTAATGGTAGTAGCCGTTTAAAGCCAAGTTTAAGTCAAGTCGTATAGTTCGTTCAGACTATATTCAGTATATGGTATACTAATTACTATCTACATAGACTGACTGACGATATGACTCCTGCGTAATACTAAATACTAAAAAAATAAATATTATCTATACAATAGAATGAATAAACTGAATAGACCAGCACACGATATAATACATTGATACGTCAGACTCAGCTCACGTTCCATACACACACACAGTCGCTATCACATAAGATTCATATGACGTTGTATGTAATACTCAATACTCCACAACATGCAGACTCAATTCTACATCCGCCAGTTGGTCTGAGGATCGGAGATGCTGGCCTTGCAGGGCATCGATATCAGATCTCTCCGATCGTCGGGAGCAGATGATGTCAAGCTATCCCAACACCAGATGGCAGATTTTGCAGGCAATGCGAATCTTGTCTTCACTTTGATTAAGTTTAAGTTCAATCAATCCTTTGATTTGCATTCCAGCGGTCAGCTTTGTGAATTGCGTATGGATGAAAAGGATTTCTGCCCCGGTCCTCATGGCGGCTGTGCTCTCGCTGATATCGTCGGTTCGGTACATCACAGACTCCGAGTCAGAGGAGCTGGATGAAATCAACACACGGCAGCTTGGCTTCCGATTACGTGCAGCTTCAGATTCTTTAGACACTAGTTGTTGCTTGTGTTTCTGAGTTTCGGACGGCGATCAATGTGAAGCTCCGATGGCTGGCTGATGGGTGAGCGGTGAGCGATCGGAAGCTGTGAAAACAGCCTCTGTGCGACTTTGTGCAGGGGGACTTCTGCATGCGATCAGTACTTATCACTGTCGCCATAGCAACCTTATGTCGTACCATGATCACCCCTTGACCCCTTGTATTGTAGTTTACAACGTACCATGCGTACCGCATGTACTGTCCCTAGCGTGCCACACGTACCGTGCCATACGTGCCACACGTACCGCGCCATACGTACCGCATGTACCGTGCCATGCGTGCCACACGTACCGTACCATAACCCTTGGCCCCGGCATACCCAATAGAGCATTACTCTCGAAGTTAGATAAAGTCTTTCCATGAAAGTTAGCCAACAGCATTTGCTGTGGGGGCGGGGGGGCTGACATGTCTCTCGTCGACACCAACCCAAGCCCGTTTATCTCAGGGATATATAGCATCGGTGGTTCCGACAACGGTGGACAAGATTGGACATCGCATGTTGTCACAGCCAGATTAGTCGTAGCAACGGTATTTTGCTGAACGCCCCGACCTCCTGCAGCTTCCCGCATGCCAAAATATCCCCGAGCCACCGGGGATCATCAACCACCAGGCTTTAAGGCAATATTCGTCTCTGCTGAACCCGTGGAAGCCGGTATCCTTGCGACAGAAGCTCTAGATCCAGGTCAATCCCGCATTGTTGGGCTTATGAAGAGGTTTGTCGGACAGTTGTGCATCCGTGGTGGTACTGGTGACAGCTCGGTCCGTGTTGAAAGCCAGTACAGAGTTGCTGACGTATCTACCTCCTGCTACTTCTATTTCTACTTACACTTATACTTTTGTATTTGTGTTTATACACAGGTTCATATTATGGAATTTTACGTTCATGTAATTATATGAAGAGTTGTATTTATTTTTCGTGTTTGTAACTGTTCGTGTGTGCTTCTTCATCTTTGTCTTGATGCTTATATGTTTATGAATATGCAAATGTATATACATATATCTATGCACGTGAAATAAGCAAATGGTATAAAAAATTGCAGGGCTGTCTGAGCAGCAAGGGGTCTCCAGCTAATTCCTTCTCAGACTTCAACAGTAAAACGTTTCGACGTCCAAACAAGGCCGACACAGGTTCAATGATGTAGAAGCCATGATTCAGCATGATTTGTAGGGTCCCTCATAAGTACAGTAACATTCAACTCCAAAAGCCCTATGCGAATTGCCCAGGCCCCTGCATTACAGAAGTTGTGTCCAG